ATCGAGCCCATCCAGTTCCACATTCTGATTTTCGCCACCTTTGCTTCCCTCATTGCTCCCTTTGGCGGCTTCTTCGCTTCCGGTCTCAAGCGTACTTTCAAGATCAAGGACTTTGGCGAGTCGATCCCGGGTCACGGTGGCATCACTGACCGCATGGACTGCCAATTCATCATGGGCTTCTTCTCGTACATGTACTACCACAGCTTCATCGCGGTGTTCAAGGCGAGCGTCGGAGATGTAATTGAAGCTGCCATCAACGGCCTGACGGTCGAGGAGCAGCTCGAGGTCGTCCGGGGCTTGAGCAAGTACCTGTACAACCAGGGTACTGTCTCTGAAACAGTAAGCCAGCCTTATACCTGGTCTGTGTTTTGAATCATAACTAAAGCATTTTACCTACTTGCAGATCCTTGATTGTATCAACACCGAGCTCCGCCGTTAAAGCGGAGGTATGATGTATCGACCCACCCTTGATCCGACGGATCTCCGTGACGAAAATCCTGTCCTTCTCTTTCTCTCTCTATAGTTGCTGTTGAGGGTAAAAAATGAGCTATGTCCCATCTATACACCTTTCTAATCACGTCTTCTAGCCTCCCGGGAGGTGTTCTCACTCGTGAGGACCGCACCGGGAAGCTCTTTCTTTTGGAAATGTGCAGCACCCTGCATGCATGCATGTATTTGTCACGCTTTCGCTACTTATATTTACTATTCCTTGCTCTTGCATTGGGGGTTGTTGTTCATTGGTGTATACATGTTTTATTTCAAAGGCGATAAAGTGGGGGAAGCAGGAATCAGGCATAGGTGAAAAATGGAGGGTGAGGGTTGGAATGAATGCAGCTGGGAATCGCGGATACGAGATATCGAACCCTGCAACATGACTTTGACATGACACATACTATGGTAGTTATAGTCATCTTATCATTCTTTATTCCTGTCCTCCATCTCTCTCTCTCTCTCTCTCTCTCTCTCTCTCTCTCTCTCTCTCTCTCTTTCTCTTCGTTGAAGTTCTTTCCCGAATACTGTATTCTTCTCGTATGCTCTACTTTTGCGGTAAGAAATGAGTGTTATAATGTAAGAAACAGGACAATAAAGAAGGTAAACGACAAATCAGTTTATACTGTGTCACCGTCATGTTATATCTCTGTTATAATCTCAACATTTACCCGCCTGCTGTTCAGCATAAATAGTTACAAAATGCACGTCTTAGCTACCCAGACTGCACTTGCACTACATAACACTTATACTACTAACGTACAACGTATAACAATAGAAGTTTGATCGTAAAGATAGATAGTAATATACATTGCATCAAGTATATTCCTCACTGTGTCTTCTATCTATGCGTTGATACATCAGAGTAGTTTTATAAATAGGTAGCCATATTCTCATGGACTGTTTCCATCCTCCTCGTGACCCTCCGTCATCAATTCCAATGAATCCCCAGGATCAACCAGGAACTTGGATGGCTTGTCTAAGTGTCTCCCGTACTCAATATGCCGGCACACGGCGCACGTAAAACCCACCAGTGGGCTTGCTCACCAGGAGTCACATTCCGACCTTGTCGCTTGAAGATATCTGTCCGAGGGCCATCCATCACTCGATCAACGACTGAGCAGAGCGCGGATGTGCTGCTCGTCTGGGTGAGATCCGTTGGGTAAAGACCATGCTCGGTGATTCACCCCGCCTGCTCAGACGAGACGGGCCTCTATGCAGGATGCATTACGTTCAGTAACACATGCAGAGCGATGCACGTTCCTTGCAGCTGGAACACGAACCAATATCCATCTGATATATGAGAAATTGAGTGAGTGTGTGTTTCTGAAATAATTCACTCCTCAACCTCGTACTCTTCCATCTCGACTTTAAAGTACGCGGCAACGTGTGATTTCTCGGCATCAGCACACTCCGGATCCAGCATGAAGCGCACGGCGCCGTCGCGGCCCTTCTCAGTAGCCCTGGGACGATCTCCATTAGCGGCAACAGGAGTGAGAGGGTGCAGTTTAGCGGTGGCGTCCTTCGCGGCTTTGTCGCCGTTCGTGGCCTTGCTTTCGCGAGGTTCCGGAACCCAGTTCGTGTACCGGGGTAGTTTCTGGGACTCGGCTTCGGTGTTCAGTGGAATGCGGACGGTGAGGAAGCGATCCGCTGGGAAATGGGGGCCGACGGTGGTGTGTCCGCGGTTGTGGGTGTACAGTTCTAGGAGGTCGAAGAGGGTTTCTTTCGATTGGGTTAGCCTTGAGAGTTTCAGTGCAGGGAACGCGGGCTCGGTCATACCCATTACTTCCTCGCGACTTGTCTTCCAGTTCGCATAGTCAACGCCTTGCTCCACGGCCTCGATGCGCTGGTCAAGTAACCGCCCTGCCAATTCCAAACAGGTGAAGGCCATGGTGGAGGTCGTTTGCTTGATGGGCGCGTACGTGCGATAGAGATCCTGCGAGATGCGATACGCCAGGTTCGAGACCTCCGATTGCGAAGTTAGCCCATACTGTCGGGCGAGCTTGATAAGCGTCTTTTGCGGATGACGGGTCCGGAAGTCGAAGCCGGATGCCTCCAGCATCAGTCTCTCCAGGCCGATGATGCCTCTAGCGTGCACTTCGAAGACCTGCCTTTATTAGCATGCACCTTCTGAGAGAGAGGTCAGAAGTACCAGCATACCGGATTATCAGGAGCCATGTGCTCCTGCGGCGGCAGCTTGAGATTGTACGCAGCGCAAACAATCTCCCGGGACCGCTTCAACGTGTCCTCGATCTTGCAGGCAGTGAAGAGCGCAGCTGCAGCGGCGTCCTGAATCCAAAGTCAACAGTACGTTCAGTGATACAATAGGGGGCATGAAGTGGGATGTACCATATAATTATACTCGTTGTCAGGATGAACGAGTCGGAACTTGTGGTAGTACACCACAGCCGTGTTGAAAGTGCGGATCGGACTAACTACCTGGTTAGCTATTTTGAGCGTGGGAAGCAGTGGAGAATCCGGCACATGGACACCTACAGGTAGAGCACACGGCGGACATTATCGATCCAGGTTACGCCTTGCAAGCGAAGGGATTCTTCGCGCAGCGGATTGACTCCCATTGCGGCAATACATCGCTGAATGGTCTGCTCGAAGATGTACGGCTTGGCTACCTGGATGAAGGACGGGTGGATGGGCGGCGGGTCGGGGATGGTAGCATCCGGGGAGGATGCTTCATCCTTCTTGTCGGGAGCCATGCTGGGGATATTGATATATGAGCGATGGCTGGACAGGGAAACTCTGGTTGGGATGGAATTGATGGGATGCTTCTTGATGCTGATGGAGCCGACGACGGCCATTGGCCGGCTGGTCATGTGACGGGCGCATTTTCAAAGAAGAATGACAATACATAAATTACGATACTCAGTATGGTATGATGACTAACCGGTGTAGCTGCATAACAGTGAACATCTCGACATTATTGTAATTCAAACAAACTGCTCTCATTCTAGCAGAAATCAGTGGTGGGTACTAATTACTAGCCATGGTTACAATCTGGAGTCTAGCTTAGCGGCCCACTTAGCTTTTCTGTTCGCTTAGGAGTGGTATTGAAGTATCTCTGCTTACTATCAATACCTATCCTATCTACTTGAACACCATATTGTATGGCTAGCGCAGGTTAACTTGGTTCCCATGTCTGGAGGGGATTTGATTGATAGGACTAATTGAATTACCGGTGAGATGTAGCCTAGACCAACTGAGTACCCGGAATACCTCTAGCCATTTCCCTTTAGAAGCTCACATGAGTAGTAGCAGACTATCTAGTCTGTATATAGGTTGTTGAGACTATACTTAGTTCCAAAACACAGCGTGATAGTATGAATCTCTCGTTTCATATACCCATGGAATCATTGATCATAAATCATGGAACCCCCTTCCCCTCTCTCGTCGCCCTCGCCAACCAACTCTGCGCCTTATCATCGGCATACCTTTTATAGATAGGCAGATAATGGACCGCCTCACTCGTCGTCTCCTTCGAACTCCTTCGTCCCTCCACAGCCGCCAACCACTTCCTCCACTTTTCCCAAACCTCTTCATCCTCCCCTCCCTCCCCAGGCTTCGGAATCCCTAATCCGCCCTTGAACTCATCAAACACCCAAAGCCGGAACGCCCACGGCGCGAGCACCAGATCTGGGAGCGACACCTCCGAGCCCCAGAAATACGGACCCGTGGAGTCGATCTCCTTAGCCCATTCCTTCAAGGTGGAGAGGAACTCCTGACGGGCTTGGTTCAGGCCCTCGATTCCGCGCGTCGAGGGCTGGTACTGGAGGAAGCGATGCAGGGTGGGGATGATGCGCGAGGTGACGTAGTCAATCCAAATGCGGGAACGTGCGCGCTGGTAGGGGTCTGAGGGGAGGAGAGGCCGGTGGTTTGGGTATGCTTCTTCGAGATATTCGAGGATGACGGTGGATTCGTAGAGAGGTTTGGAGGTGTTGGTTGAGGGGTCGGGCACGGAGATGGTGGGGACGAGGCCTCGTGGGTTGAGGGCGAGGAAGGAGGGTTCTTTGTGGTAGGGGTTTATCTCGATGTACTGGTAGGGAATTTGTTTTTCTTCGAGGACAAGCCAAACACGTTGGACTGAAAATTGATTAGTTGATTACGACCGCCGTAGTGAGAAGGTATGAGGGTTGAGAGGTATACCGAAGCTGCGAAGGCATTAGTAAAGTCCCAAAATGGTGTACTTTGGTGGGGAGACTTACGGACAGAACCAGCCGGCATACAGCTTCAATGGCTGCTCGGCTTGGTGTCGGTCGACCAGTGCCTTAGCTGCACCGGTAGCTTCGGGGTGAACGTCTGCGTCGGGGACGGGCATTGTGAGATGGATGTGGAATTGACGATGGGATAACCCGGTGGGCGGCGGGGGCTGTTTATTTATACTCAAGGGATGGTGTCATGGGCTTATTAATTGATGGCATCACAACCCCGCATGCGGTAAGGGACAGATATGCTTACAGTGAAGTAGTGATAATGGTAATCTACTAAAGATAAGAGTAGAAAATAGCTCAAATGTGATACCAGCATGAATGTCGCCATTAACGAGCAGAGAACAATCAACGTAGATGGCATCTCAAGGCATTCTAGAAACGAGCTCAATAGCAGCTACTCTGTCCGGGTCAAACATTAATCCCCATATTTCCTCAGCAACTTCTGCATTATAGATACAGCGCCCGATCGGTATCCGGCTCCAAAGATCGCATGGTGGTTCAGATGATGGTATCTATGTTTGATTAGCTTCTTTGTCGCAGTTCTAGACCGAAAGCCAGGAGGACAACTCACAGCTCGTACAATCGCACACGGTCCTCATATTCCTCCACTGGCTCGGTTTTCGGCACAATCTTGTGATAAGCTGTGAAGAAAGCCGATCCAAACCCGCCAAACATTCTCATTATCCCCAATTCATACTCGCTGTGTGCGTAGCATGCCGACGGATCGTAGACCACATCGCCGACCTCCTCGTCATCCTTGCGACCGCTACCCACAATGTGACCGCGATCTGCATTTCCGCTCCACAAATCCCCATGGACAACGACAGGTATAATGCCCTGTCCATTCCCGTCCCTGTCATAGCCTAAGTGTCCGTCCCGCAGCAACGCAGGGACCACTGTCCGCGCCGTCCGCTCCACCAGATCCCGCAAGCCAGCATCACGACCATTCCGGGTTTCCGATGACTCGAGGATGGTGAGCAGCCGTTCGTTGGCATAGAAGTCCGCCCACGAGTCGCAAAAGCGGTTGGGCTGCTTGGTGTCCCCGCAGAAGGTCGGAACAGGGAATCCGAATCGACGTCGTCCCGTTGCAGGGTCGGGGGGCGCTGGCGTCGAATGTAATTTGCCTAATCGCTGGGCTAATGTATCTCCTCGACCTCGACGGCCACCTCCTCCTAATTCCAAAAACTCAGTCGCTAAGAAGAAGCTTGTCCCAGTGCTTTCCTCCAGCGGGCCCCAGGCGAGTGCTCGGGGACAGAAACCGGGCACGGACGTCGCGATCGCATTGAGTGATTCGTACTCCCCACGGAACATCTCCTCTGCAGCCTCGCCATTTGGGGAGGTCTTGACAAAGTAGCGACGTTCTTCCTCCCCTGAGCCATCGGAGCGGGGAACTGTGGCTCGTATTGCACCAGTGTTTGTGAAGCCCGACCCCAGACCGGCGGTGGACAGGCTGGCTTTGGCGGGGTCAGGGATGGAGAGGGCACGCAGCAGCGTGGCAGGCACGGGGGCCATCGTCTCAATCAGCACGCACGCGACGGAGGATGGAACAAGGGTCAAAGTCAGGAACAGAGAGGAGAACAAAGAGGGGGACCACGGAAAAGAAGGGGAAACCAGGACGAAAACAAACAGCAGCGAAGATTGGCCGGAAACGATTTCAGCGGGCAGGCCTTCCGATGACGTCGCTCGGACCTTATCTTATCGATAAGATAATCCGTTGTGGATGCCTGAAAATGAGAATTGCTCATTTTCACAGTGGAAGATGGGAGGATAAAATGTCAAAGATAAGAAGAGGGCCCAAAGTGCCACGAGCAGAATTCACACAGTAGGAATGAATGAGTCTCCTGGTGCAGGTCAAGCACCGTCTACGTGAGTAAACCAACGCTTTGTACACAACGACCCCTCGAACGCCTCCCAGATTGTCTGGGTTTCCACTTATCCAGTCCAAATAGTCCGCAGAATCCAGGCACCCGAATGCATGGCTAGCCTAACATGAATATTCTTTTTTTCACTATGTGTGCGTCAAGTGATTGACCAGATCCTGGGCCGTCCGTGTCCGTTCCCGCACGTCCAGATCGGGATCATCCCCAAGACTGGACAGCCGATCCATGACTCCCATCGCTCGCAGCCGGAACGCCCGTTCTCGACACCCTTCCTCCTCACTCGCATCATCCTTGTATGTAAGGTTAATCACCACCCACACACAATTGGTGCGGACTTCACGATGGGTATGATTGAAATACCCCATTAGGTAGCGTAGCAAGTCCCGATGTGACACCAGAAGCTGGCGGTGCCACGGAAGGCCCGCAGCGAGATGGATCATGACAAAGGTAACTGACACCAGAATTTCGGTAGGAACACTCAGAGGCCGGTGCGCTGACGACTCCCCCCGGTGGGGAAGTTGGATCGACCGGGGCCGGAGCTTATCCGCCAACGCATCCAAGATCAAGTCCTGTCCTATCACCTTGAACAAATGATCAATCATTTCGGCTGCGCCGGGCCCGCAGATGATATTGCGCAACAGGTCGAAGGTCTGTTCTTGTACTGCAATATCATCCTGCCGGGCCTGGGTTGTCTGATCGAGATTACCGTGCAATGCCAACTTGCGCCGTCTCGTGGCATCCGGAAGGAACATATCCAGGCTCATCTTGGACGGGGGCATTGTGTCTGCCATCTTCATGTCCTCATCTTGCCCAGCGGCGTTATCAACCGGGTTGAGCAGGTCTACCTGCTCCCCTGCTGAGTTGGCTCGGCCCATCCCCACGTTGGAACCGTTGTCCATCTCCTCATCCATCCCTCGTTTGGCCAATGCGTTGGTCGGATCTTGGGTGATAATCTGCCGGATATAGGCGGGGCTCAGGCCATCAATAATTCTCACCTTAACGTCGTTGGTGGAATTATATGCTACATGTTTCAACGCCCATAGCGACTCAATGCGAAGCTTGGTGTTCGGAGAGTGTGCGTGCTCACAAAGGGTGGGGAGAACATCGGCGGTAATAATCGCCTAGGCCTGTTAGCGCATTCTCTCATGTGGCAGAAGGATGGCAGAATCTACTTCTTTCATTGGACTGAAGTCCAAAGCTAGGTTACATATTACCTGTGTCGCAGCGATTTGCACCTCAATATTGGGGTGCTTAATCAAGACAAAGAGAGGCGTCGCCACCCCGGCATCGATCATACTCGTCCTCAGAACACTGACAGAGCGCGTCAGCATCCGCGCGGCACCGCATGCAGCTAACAGGGTTGAAGTCGGGTTGCCATGCGAAGCGGTATTCTTAGGACCTGACGGGTCCGCCGATTGATCGTCCGAACACGGCTTCAGTGAGTCGATGATGTACGGTACCACGCCGTTCTCACAGACAGCCTTGCGATACTCATCCTTGAAAGGGACTAGAGCTGCTAGCGCCTTGAGAATATTCTCCCGGTATCGCATGATATGGCAGTGGACAGGAGAGAAGCCCAGGGAACCCAGGCGGCACTCTGCGGGCAAGGTGTCGGGGGAACTGTCGATGCTTTCTTCAGCATCGGCATGCCACATGGGACGAGTGACATCCTGGACTGGGTTGTATGTTTCTTTGAGCAGTTGAGATAGTCGTTTGATGGCATTGCCATCGACTGCATGCCTTTGCAGCTCGAAATCATCGATCACTAGGGTAGCCAACACAAACGGGGCCTCTTCACGAAGACGTTCAGTTGAAGGGATCAAGCCCCCGTATTGTACACCATCGTCGCCGTTCAGTTCGTAGTCCTTATCAAGCATCCGAATTAAGATCGGTATCAGGAGGTAGCACAGCATCGAGACCCGACGCTTCTTAGTTAGCCCCAAGCGAAAAAGGACGGTCACAAGACGAGCCGCCATCAACCGAACCATACCACCTTCCGCACGGACAATATACAGGAGCCACGGGATGATGGGATTTTCCTCGTCTTCAGAGGTTGGAGGATCGTAAGCCGACATCGGCGTAGAATAAGACTGACTGTGTCGGCGGTGCGTCGTACCCTGATGGCCTAAAGGCGGAAAGTTGGGAGTGTTCGCCGGTGACTTGCTCTGCGACAAGGGAACCGATGGCAAAAGGTGTTCCAAGGGACTTGCGCCTGCATGGCGGGGAACAGCGGAACCAGAAAAGTAAGTTGAGCCCCATGGCCCCTTCTTGATGTCTGTCGGAGCAAACTCGGGGAGCTGCCTGGGAAACACAGTAAGTATACCGGGGGACGAGAGAAAGTGCTCTGCGCGCCACTTGGAATGCTCGATTATGACCGTAACGGCGCGAAGAATTGGTGCCAGTTTAGCTCCTGCTGGCGCAGGGGCTGGCAGAGAACCGAGAGCACCTGTATCCTGCACATGTGCTTCCGCACCGGGGAGCACGAAGCCCTGGGCAACGATGAAAGAAGCTACCTTCACAGCCAAGGCGTCTAAAACCCCGCACTCCGCCAGGATTGCCTTGTGGATCTCCTCCGTGCATAATTTTCCAACCAGAGATGCAGTAAGTTCAATGGCCGCTTGATCGTGATGACTTTCATACTCCTGGCCGAGGATACGAGCTAAGCAGCCAATGTGATCGTTGGAGAAGAGCAGATCAGCCAAGCGGGTGTCCTTGGACGATAGCTGTTGACTTTGGAGCGGCAGTCGATCCGCCACATTATTAAGGGTTCGGAGAATAGGCAGAACGAAGAATGAGGGACACCCCGGCGCAGAGAGGATGGACAGAAGGGCCGGTAGAACACCGCTGGAGAAAATGGGGGAAAGGAAGGCCGCACCGCCTGCTCGATCATCAGTTCCCGTGGCGAGATAGAGTACATGTAAAGTACCCGATTGACCAGAGTGTGGATTTATATACCTTGTGCTAAACTGCCCAGAATGATGACTGCTTGAAGACAAGCTTCATCTTCCTCCGATGTAGGATAGCGGAGCTTGGAGCCCCCATTGAGCTCCGCGGAAGCCGTGCCTTTTCCGGGAGACTGCCGGGCGGCCAGGATATTGGCTAACACGGGAAGAATCCCCCATCGAATCCAGGACTCTTTGCGCTGGTCATGACCAATTGTCTCGTTCTTGAGGCTTCGTAGGGCAGCTGCCTGGGCAGACAACGTTTCTGCATTCTGTAGTTGTAGTAGGAGTGGAGGGGCCGAGGCGCGAGTCATAGTGCGCAATCGCCGCCTCCCGCGGGAGGGATCTTGGATGGATTACGTCGGAGAATTAAGAGGGTCAAGCTGATCGCGTGGAATTTTTCGGTACGGAATAAGAGAAAGAATAATCAGGCCAATGTATGGGGGGATAGGGAGGATAAAAGATTCGAGGATGTGTTTGACCAGAGGGAAGGTTGCGTGCGTATCGCCAGCTGGCCGGAGGCGATGGTTAAGCAATTGTGAATTGTAATGGCGTTGCAACTGGAATGAGTGGTGAAAGTACCGGATTAGTACCACAAGACAAGGAAATGAAATTCCGAGAAGGTCTAGCAAATAAGACAGAGTAATAGCAAACAGTACAGGCTATGTACGGAATGAAGGAGAGCGAAAATAGATAGAACGAGATCCGCGACCAAGGGATCTGGGGTTTGAGCTGGACTGGGGGAGATTGGGGGGAGCTTCTGGACGTTGACTTAGTGGTGATACTTTGGTCCTGCTGCCCGGGGGAGCCATTGCCTCTTACCGCTTTCGGCCGGAGCCGTCAGGTGATGTCACCTGATGGTTGCAGTTGCGTAGTAAGCTGACATTGCTGATTCATCTATCGCCGGACACAGCAGGGCCATCATGTGATTCAGCCCTATCAGTATTGGCTGCGGTCTCTTAAGTCTTAAGAGGTACTAGTACTAGTAACCCAGGTTTCCCTTGGTATTGAGGATCGTGTCCCGACTGCCGAACAAGGGGTGCAATCAATCATGAGCCGTAAGGAGACATGCATCATGAACTATGGCTTTCAATAATGGGGAAGAAGGGAAGCAATGGTGTCACTAAGTAGAAGCTGCTGCTTGGGGGTTTCGTGGGAGTTGGAGAGGAGTTGGAGTAGTTGTTACTAGTAGTAAACGGAAGCGCGGACGATGGGGGTAGATTGGTATGCAGTATCGCATGATCTCTAGCAAGTGACCGGGAGATGAATGAAGAAGAAAGGGTTTCCCTGAAACTCGGAAGGACAGGAGAGAAGCTTCTTGGCGTATAGACCAAAAGGGATGCAGCTCCTCGCCTCGTTTGCTCCCCTGGAATCGATAGATTGATAGGTCTGTGTCACCATCACCTGACGCCAAGTTACTGTCCATACGGGACTACTAGTGCTAAGTATATATACAGACACAGTGTAGTAAAATACAGAGCAGGCCCTTCTGAGTAGCAGTGGTCTACTCCATAAGCCATGATAAGATCGTCCCGGGAGTGTCAAAAAGTCTCCGCCTTTCCAACTCATGGATGCACTGTACCCAATTGAGTATCTATCTCCTATTTGAGAACCAGCAGAAGAGCGAGTCCGAAGTACAAAGCAGTAATTTGGATCTTTTGCCGAGATGCGTCAAAAACAGGGGAGTTGTAATACGGCGGGCACTAAACCGAGATTAGACCGACCAGCGGCAACTCCTATTGGTGAATGGGGCCACGCAGGGCGGGATTCCCTGCTTTGTTCCCTGCGTATCAAACCGTCCTCGTACTGCCCCATACTGACTTTTACTCACCTTTTACTTACTGTCAAACTTACACGGGCCGGTTCGACGAGAAATTTTCCCAATGGAAAACCCCCTCTCTCTGCTGGATCGGCGTCATTGTTAGTATATTCATTCTCGCTCGTCGGAGTTCCTTGCTCTCTACTAGTACTTTTTTTACTTCTTCTAATCCCTATCCTCCTCCACTTTCTTTCCCTTCTCTCCCTTTTCCCTCTCCTCTTCCTCTCTCTCTCCCCGCCTTTCAGCCTCCTTCCATCCCTTGAAGAGCTGAATATTTTCGCTCCTCTCCCTTTCTCTCCCCCGCAGATCACGATGCGTCTGTGCACGCCACCTTCACCCCTCGCAGCAGCACAAGGTTTCGCAGCGTCTGCCAGCTCCGTTGCACGTCGTTCAGTCGTGCGCCCACGTGGTGGCCTCGTTGGGCGGAAATGCTAGTTTCGTCGCCCTCTCCGTCCGCCGCCCTGCGACCATCCCCCTCCCCTTCCACCACCACTACTACCACCACTACCACTCATCATTCCCATTCTCATCCCCTTCCCCATTCTCAGTCGCACCCTCATCCGTCCCCTCATTCCCAACTTTCCCCTTCTTCTTCCTACACTTCATATCCACGACAGCCTGCGCGTCAGCATTATGAGCCCGCCGGGCACGCTTCTGCTGCAGCTGCATCTTCCAACTCTCGTTTCGACCCGCAATCCTCTCGGGTGGCCATCGAAGAACTTCGATCGGCCCTAAACCGGCATACCGTTGGCTCATCCCCTCCCGGGCCCTCAGGGGATATCCCTCGCGGTCGCATGTCCGCCGGGCTGACCTCCTCTGGGGGCGGAAGTAGCACCACGTCTCATCCGCCTGCTGACGCCGCCATTCCCGCCTCCAATCCCATGCGCCCTGCTCAGGATCGTCCTGCCAATAACGTGTCTGTCCCGACCGTACCTGCAGCCTCCGTTCCCGCCTCAGGTGCCCAATTTACATCGACTTCCCCAATGCCAGTCCCCAACAGCGCTGGCTCCGGGTCCAACAAACGTAACAGCCCGAACGACCCTCCGGTCGGTGGTGAGCGAGCCGCGGGTCTAGCTCACGCTGACCTCGAGGGCTCTCAGACGAAACGAATGCGACCGGACGTTCCGGCAGTCAAGTTGCTGCCGGAGCGATACGAGCTGGCGGATCCTCGGGATATCGTTGTGTTGATCTCGAGCATGTTGATGGAGCTGATCCGGTTTAACGATAAGATCCCTCTGAATCAAGGTCGCTTGACTCGGTTCCACTCGCGGTCGCCGCCGCGAATTTCGGTGCATGACTACCTCCAGCGACTCACCACCCATGCTACGCTGTCCCCTCCGATCCTTCTGAGCATGGTGTACTACATTGATCGGCTCTGTGCTCTATACCCCGCCTTCACCGTGTCCAGTCTGACGATTCATCGATTCCTCATTGCGAGCGCCACGGTAGCTAGCAAGGGTCTAAGCGACAGTTTTTGGACCAACAAAACCTACGCTCGGGTGGGTGGTATCACCATGACCGAGCTAGCTCTGCTTGAGTTGGAGTTCCTGTTCCGCGTAGAGTGGCGCATCGTGCCCGAACCCGAAGTGCTTGTAGACTACTACAAGAGCTTGGTCGAGCGATGTGATGGATATGCGATCGGACGTGACAGTTGATCCTTTCTTTTCTCCGACGTCGACATTTGAGGTGCTTGCGAGCCACGCATGAAGATTTAGATCGATTGCATATATTTCTGGGCTTGGATGGCGCAAGCTATGGATTACTACTTCTACTATCTGGAGAGTTTGTGGGAAGACGATGTGTTTGTACCAGTACATATCACACATACACGGACATGGAGTTGATGTTGTTTCTGCATATTATGATGGCGGGGAGCGATCGATATCCTTTATGGCTGGTGTTGTTCGATTTACTTTTTCTCGTCTTTGTTTCTTTTGAATTTTTTCGTTCTAGTGTCGTGTCTGGTTTTTACTCGTATACACACCCTGTACAGCATTCACAATACATGATATATTTCACTCTTTTCGGACGATAGAGGGATCGATTGGCCCACTATGTTTCCACCCACTCGACCCATCGCTGGGCCCGCTCCGTTACCCCGAGTGGTTTAGGCGTCATCGAAAAAGACAGTGCTGGCTGTATTTGCTTACCCGTGAAGAAACATGACATGACGTCTTTTCCTACTCCTCTAGTCCCAATCCATCTTCTCTGCTAGGGCTTAGGTCCTAGGGCACAGGGTCTGCAATCCCGTGCATCCAGACGGAAAGTTATTCAGCTTCATCTTGCCGTTCTCACATCTCGACCCATACGGCGCAGCTGATTCCGCCAAATTGAATATTCGCGTTGAAAGAATGCCGTGATCGGACACATCGGCCATCCTCACTCTTCCCTTCCCATCGTTTACCTGCCCCTCCTCCACCCGCAACCCCGCCATAAAAGCCATCTCCCCCGCGAGATAAACCACCAAACTCAATGGACGTCGAGGAGCTTCTCCGCGGCATCAAGCCCCTCGAGGGCCAAGTCACCGCAATCCGGACCGTCCAAGAAACACGTCCCCGCGAAGACTACGGTGCGCCATGCCCAAAATACCCCACAATGCCAACTTTACACGCATCTAACCTCACCCCCAGCCGATGCCTACGTCACGGAAGTCAACGTCAAATGTGCCTCCAAAGTGATCAAGTGAGCTCTCCACTCCCAAACACACCTCACTCCTTCACAGCTCACCTGCGTCTCCGCCAACACAGAGTCCTGGACTCCCGCTTCCCCCGCGACTCCTCCCAACCACTCAGCCACCTCCGCCGCTTCGCAAAGCACAACCAAATCCCCGAACACCTTCGTCCCATCCTCCTGCGCGAGGGATCCTCGCCCGCGCAAACCATCTTCGTGCTCATCTCTCCGCCTCTCCCTGACATCGAGTCCCTCCAAGATGCTCTATCACCATTCGCGCCCCCAAACCCTACTGAGGGGGAGAACAGCAGCCCCCTCACCTTCCACACCATCCGCATCCCCCTCCAACCACCCCTCACCCCCGTCCAAGCCGACGCATGGTCCAAAAGCATGTGGCCAGTCGTCTATAACCCCGCCGCACCGCGCGCCATGATCGCCCCGCCACCACACATCCTCGCCCGCGCGCGCGACTCCATCCAGCCCAAAGCCGGCCGGTACCTCGCTCTAGCGCAAAGGGTCGCAGACGAGGCAGAGCGATCCGGTCTAGGCCGCCGTGTCGGCGCCGTCGTCGTGGACCCAGAACTCGAAGCAGAAGCAGCACCCGACGACAATGACAACGATGATGGAATCCACTGGTCCGACGCCATCGTCGCAGTAGCCGGCGACGGCCGATACTCGCGCGCAGACACTCACACAGAAACCCCCAACCCTCCCAACCAACACGCAACAACCTACTCCCCCGACCACGAAGGCGGGCCCGAACTCCACGCCCTAATGCGCGCCGTGGACCTCATCGCCAGTAAACGTCGCGAAGACCGTCCAGGCTCATCAGCTACAAACCGGCCTTGTCTTACCGACGTGGAGAGATACTTCCTATCTAAATCAGACGTCGACAGTACTGCCACTGCTTCTACTAGTACACAGCCAACCGACCCCGAACACGAGTTTGAATCAAAAGAATCCACCCCCGTCCCCCCACCGGAGAAATACCAGAAAACTACAGAAACCTCCGCACAGCCTATCCACATTCACACTGAGACACAAGCATCAGCATCAACATCTACATCGCGCATCCGTCCCCGCTCTCAAGGCGGATACCTCTGCACTGATCTGGACGTATACCTGACCCATGAGCCGTGCATCTGCTGCAGTATGGGTCTGTTGCTTTCGCGCTTTCGGGCTGTGGTGTTTCCTCGCTCGGGGAGGATGGTCTCGGGTGGGTTGGCGTCGGAGCCGGTGATTGGGCCGGTTCCTGCGGAGGAAGATGAGGATAGAAATGAGGATGAGGATGAGGATGATGGGAAGGATGGGTCGGTGGAAAGGGAGTATTATGGGTTGCATTGGCGGAAGGAGTTGAATTGGCGGGCGTTGGGGTTTGAGTTTGTGGAGGAGCAGGGATGTGGAGAGGGGAGTGCTGAGCTGGGAGTGGCGTTTCATGCTTGATTTTGTGGTGTGGGTATAGATGCATATGGTATAGGCGTCGTGAAAGGGGCGTTGTATGGGTGAGTGGGTGTAGTTTTGTTAGTATAACTACCAAGTCGTGAACCAATGGACACAAAAAAGCATATGAGAAGGCTACATCTACATAAATCTACCAAACAGCAAATGCTAACCTCGTCATTCATAATATTAAGCTAAGATATTATCAAATCAATGACTGGTTCCATAAAACCAACCAACTATTCGCATCTCATATGCAAGCAAGCGGCGGCTAGACATTTCCGCGTTTACTCATCCAGGCATTATTTCATCAAAGACCAGGACGTAGACCATTTTTGTTCTGCAACTTCTTCTTTTCCAATTCATCCCCGCAGAAGCCGGGCACGGCGCGACAGAGGCGCAATCTTGCGAATGATGGGGTCGTGAGGCGAGGTTTCGGCAACAGACATGTACAGCGCCTCGAGCCGTTGGCTGAGGATGTCCATGATTCTAGGCACAAGCTCGCGGATATCGGGGTCCTGGTGTCTTGTTAGTATTGGCTAACATTAGGATCAGGTGATTATACATACCATCGGGTTGACCGTTTGCAGGACCACTTCCAGCCATGTCAGACGCTGCATGATGTTGGTCTGCAGCGACGAAGTAACAGCAACGCCGACAGACAGACTGACAATAGGCGAAAGACTGGTCAGGTAGGAGGGATTCAGGCGCACAAACAGGTTGTCAAACAGGTCGGCCTGCTGGGCGGATTGGAGCCACTACATCACAATTAGCAGAATTCTAAAACAGTACATAAATAAAGACGTACCTTGACTGAACCCTCTTCGAACCGACCCGCGTTGATCAGTTCAGCGATTTCTTCCAATTCGACTCGCTCAGGAGTTCTCGTATCGGCAACGGCGGGTGCAACAGGCTGCTGCTGCTGTTGCTGCTGCTGCTGCACAGGTTCCGGCTGGGCCACCGGGGAGGCCAGGGCACGATTGAGTCGCAAAACTTCGCCCTGGAGCTGGGTCTGTGCCGTCGCCATGGAAGAAACAGTCTCAGAAAGTTCTCGCACGAGAGAAGTGAGCTGGTCAATCTTGGCGGCGTCATTCTGACGCTGCAGCTCGAACTGTCTTGCCTGGGCTTGCATCTGCTTCTCCATGGAGCTGGCAACCTTCTCCGCAGACTGCGCAGCAACGTTCCGGATAGCCGGTGCAACGGTGTTATGAACAGCCTTGGAGACCTCGTTCTCTACCTGGCTAGCCAGCTTCTGGCCCACAGCATCCGACAAGACTCTCATCAGATCGGGGTGCTGGACGGCGCGAGTGACGGCTTCAGGGAGGGCCTGGCGCAGTTCACGGGGAACAACACCTCCGATCTGCTGAGAAATAAGGGTGTTGAGTTGCTTACTGACAGCAGCGGTAGTGATATCGCTCAAAGCAGGCACAACCTCAGTCTGGATGTTGCTCGACACGATGCGAGCCAGATTCTTCTCCACATTGTCAGACAGAGTGCTCGAGACCAAACGCAGCACTTGATCCTGCTTGGCTGCCGAGGCCGCATCCCAGCTACGGCGCTCTTCATCGAAGCGTTGATACAGCCCTTCTACCTCACGGCCAAGGCTCTTGCTGAATTCGGATGACACAGCACTCTGCAAGGCTTCCAAATGCTTACTCAGAACAGCCGCAGAGTCAACAGCCACCAGGCCAGGTCCAGAGGGCGCCGAGGGAGCAGAAGCCGAGACGGGGGTAGGTGCAAGAGATGCCTTCTGTGCATCGCCGTTGGGTTGTTCAGCACTCGCAGGAGTCTGAATCGATGCAACAAAGTCACCAGTGATGGGCTCAGTTCCAGTTGCAGGCTCCTTGCCCTTGACGGATGGCTCACCCGTTGGGGTGGCTGCCGCAGCACTCTTCTTCTTCTTCTTTTTATCAGCCTTGTCGGTGCTAGTAGCAGGCTCAGGCTGTTCTTGGGCGGGCTTCCTCGTCACCAACTTGGTGGGCGACTGAGTACGCAGAGTGCTAGGACCGGCGGCGGCAGGCGCAGCGGCAGCCTCAGTGTTCAACTCAGGGATCTTCTTGGCGATCTCCTTGACTGCAGGCTTGGTAGGAGTAGGGGCAGAATCACCGTTGACCGAAGGCTCGTCTGCAACATATGTGGGGAAGGTCTGCAGTTCAGCGATGTCGATGAGGCCCTCTTCCAAGGCATTGACAGGGCGAATGATCTTGTTGTCCGAGGTCCATCCCAAGTCTTCTTTCTTGATGTTCAAGCACGTCACTCCGCGGGAGTGCATAACGTAGAGTTCGAACAAGCCGTTCTCGTCGCCAGCGCTCTTAGTAACCGGGAGAAGGTCCAAGCTGCGCAGCTGTCCCTTGGAAGCGAAGGAGATCTCGCGGATGCCGCTCATGCATGCGGTAGACTCCGGCTTGGGCAGGCTGCTATCCTTCTCACCCGAGCGCTTGATGAAAGAAGCCTGCGACATAGCCTGCAGGTTGTACCTGGGGGCGGACAGGTGGACGAAATAGATGGAGTTCCTGGTGGGATGTCCGACGACAATGATGCCAGACGCAGGGTGGTAGGCGACACTGCAGATGGCGTCCGACTCGTTCTCATGGGGGAACTTGAGCTCCTGCACAGCCTTGCCCAGCCCAATATC